GTCGAGTGGACCGCGCACGTGAGGCCCAAAACGTCGGAGACATGGGTTTTGGGTGGGGGGGGTTCTGGACAGGGGAGCGTCCAGATGGTCCCTCCCGGCGGTGTCTCCCCGAGCTCCCCTTCCTTGCTGAGCGGCCTGGCTTTCGGAAAAAGGCACTCGGGCAGTGGAGGCGAAGCGTTGCCTTTCACCTCCTCCTCGGGAGACCACGAAAACGACCGCGCGGAAGCAGAGACGGGCGGGGGCTCTGTGGACGCCGCGGCCAGCGAAACGCCGCGGCCCCACGCGGCCGGAGCGGAGCCGCGAGACTGGGCCGAGCGAAGCCCACGGGCGACCCAGAGCTCCCACCCCGGGAGGACGACGACGAGGGAGGCCACGTCGGCAGGGGATGGCGCAGCAGGAGCGCGCCAGGAGGGCGGGCCGAGACGTGCAGGGCGCCACAAGTGCTCCTGCTCCTGCTCCTGCTCCCGTTCTAGGGGGGGGCGAAGAATGACACAGGGCGGAACCCAAACGGTGTTCTTCGTTTTCGCTTTGTTTTCGCTTTCCCTCGCTCTTGCCTCGAATCCGCCTTTACCGCAAAACGAGGTCGAAATGAAAACGGGCCACGAAACCGCCGAACACACCGTTTAGGTCCAGCCCTGGAATGACACAAACATCGAAACTCGGAGGACCGCGCGGACTGTCTCGGATCGGCGCTGGACCCCCCTCCCTGGCGCGCGGAGCGCGCCAGGGGCGGCGCCGGATCCGAAGAAGCCGCGCAGATCTGCGAGCTTTTCTGTTCATGTCAGTGTTCGTCCCCCTTCTGTTTCTGTTCCTGCTCCTGGGCGTTGGGGCCAGCAGTAAGGAAGGCGGTCCAGGCTGCTCTGTCGTGGCTTGCTCCTGCGGGACCTGCTGCTGCGCCACGGCGCCGCCGCCCATCGCCTCAGGGAGGGGAAGGGGCAGCACAGATCGCTCTGCCGAGGCTCGCGGGGAACTACAGTAGGGGCCGATCCACAAGAAACCTTCCACAAGAAACCAAACCCTGAGACCCCATGGCGTCCAGGGATGTTTGGTGCGGGAACGTCACGCTCTCCATCGCAGAACCATCGAAACCCAGGGCACCCAGGGCACCCTTGAGGCAAGCAGAATGCTTCTTGGCATGGGTCTCCGCTGTAGCAAACACGAAGATGTTGACGAGGATCACTGCCCGGCCAGGTGGGATCAGGTCTACTTGTGCCGCTGCGGATCGCCATCGCCGCCACAGATCGCACGCACTGGATCCGCGCTAGAGCAGGCGAGGCGTTTCGGGCGTGGGATGCCTCCGACGATGTTCAGCCGTATATGACCAAAGCCAGGGGAGAGGAGGCACAACGGCCGCACATCCACACAAGAGTGCCCCGACAACCCTGGTTGTGCCTTCGAGTGCCTCCTCATCCGCCACCTCCTCCTCCTCCTCCTCCTCCTCCTCCTCCTCTTCCTCCTCCTCCTCCCTCCTCCTCCTCCTCCTCCTCCTCCTCCTCCTCCTCCTCCTGAGCCTGGCCCACCCAGGCCTGCGCGAGCGGAGGTAGCGAAGTGCCGCCAGTGGCCGCGCTCCAGCGACGGCCCTGGCTCTGCCTGGGCCAGGTGGGCGGCAGGTGCGTCCTGATGTGGGACCCCCTCGGCGTCGAGTGCGAGTGCTCGTTGGCGCTGGGGGAGCCGGTTCCAGGGCCGAGTGGCCAGGAGCAGGCTCTGTGGCTTGCCTCGGCTCGAGTTCCTGGGCTGGGGCGGCCCCGGGGCTGCCAATTTTGGGGGCCCGCGGGATTCCTGGGGGCGGCCCCTGTGGCCGCGGTCGGTGGCCCCTTGGTCTCCGTCCCCGCGGGGGCGGTGGGGTCTTGGCAACGGCCCTCCGTGGGAGGGCCACTGTTGGGATGCGCCTGTCTGGTGGGACCTTCGGGATCCTCGTCGCCGCCCCCGCGCGGTTCCAGGCCGAAGCAAGGGCTTCTGGCCGCTCGAAGGCTCGCGGTGGGCCTTGGTTTGCCGCCGCGGCGGCGGGGCGCAGGGACTGCGCCCATGCCCGTTCACCCGTTCACCCTACTCCTCCTACTCGTGGATCTTCTGACCCGGGTCAATCCAGACCCGGGCCAGTCAGGCCTTGCTTAATCCTGCAAGATCCTGCACCCAAACCTGGGTCAATGCGAAAAATCCTGCAAGATCCTGCAAGATCCGGCACCCAAACCCGGGTCAGTGCGATCCTGGCCCTGCAGGATCCTGCATGATCGGGCGCTGTGGATGACCCCCGCTTGCATTGTCAAGGCTGCCGACCTACTCCGCCACCTTCTCTCCAGCCTTCTGATGCTACACGGTGCGCGCTTGGCCCACCGAAGAAATTAGGGAGGACCAGCGTAGACCCCTCACAACTGGTCACTGGCTTCCCGATGCGCACGCTATATTGGGTGCAGCATGTCTGGCGCGACACACGGGGTGCAGTCTGCATGTAAAACTCACACTAATGGCATGCACGCGTGACCACCTCCAATGCTCGTGAAACCATCCCGCCCACCTGGAGCTTGTTGGCCAACAGCACAACTGGCTCAATGGCGCGAGAACCCACATCACGTATATGTCCACGAGTCCAGTGGGCGAGCGCTGATGGGGATGCTGATGCTGCTGCTGCTGCTGCTGCTGATGACGATGACCATGATGATGATGATGGCGCTGACGACGAGGGCGACGACGATAATTCTGACGACGACAGTGGGAACTATGGCGACGACGATCATGATGGTGACGGAGATGATGATGACGGTCGCACCGATCACAATGACACTGATGACAACAGGTATGCCGAGGGTGACGACAACGGCAACGACTATGACGATGATGACGTGGATGACGAGGGGGGGGTGACGACGACGACCAATGACGACGGAGACTGTGCTTACGGTGGCACCGATGGCACCGGTGGCACCGTGCTGCTGGTGATGATGCGGACAGGGCACGCGCGTGCTCAGAAATGAGAAAAATTACGGCACGATTTGTCCTGGCAAACCAGTGGACTCTGCCACGTGTGTGGAACACATCTGTGCTCCACTGCTCAGGGCACGAATGTTTGCGTCATGGTGTCGACGTGCGCGCGCGGAAACCCGCGCGTGTGGCCCCCCCATGGTAGACGTTCGACGAGTTGTCGGGTGCGCGAAATGTTAACGAATGCGTTCGACATGGGCGCGCGTGTGGCCCACCCCCTCAGCGACTGAAAGCCCATGGTCTGATTACGACGTCGGCGGGTGCGCGCAAGCAGAAACTTGGCCACTTGCTGCCAGAGAGCACAAAGTGGAGTTTCGCAAGTTGCTGCGGAGCTTCATGCATCTTGAGATGGCTTCGACAAGCCATGTCGAATGAATCACTGGACATGCGCGCGCGAGGTCGATGTGGCCCGCACAATACTCCGCGATACGTGTGGGGCAAAGTGTACGGTGCAAGCTATTGGCTACACGCTGTGGGGTGCAACATCTGCGGTGCAAACTATGGATTGCACTCTATCTAGTGCACCTTATGGGATGCAAAAAAGCGCAAGCCATGTAGTGCAATGCGTGTCGTGCAATGTCTGGGCTGAAAGCTATGTGGTGAATTCTGCGTAGTGCAATTTGAAGAGGCACCCACTGGGAGGTGTTCGTCGGTAGGATTACGAAGGATTCAGCCCCAGTGCAGGGGTGCTACGCCAGATTAGGCCGCGGATTACGCGGGATGAAACCGGAGTCAACGAGATCAAGCCAGATGAAGCGGGACGAAACCGCATGAAGCGGGATTGATCGCAAGTCGGACCAGGGCATTGACCCCCCAGTGAGCTGCATCCGAAGCAGCCTGTGCGGTACGCACCGTGCCGGGAGCAGCCCGCGGCGCGAGCCGGTGCGGCGCGCACGGAGCGCCCCATGGGCGCCCGCAACAGAAAAAAACCGCAGACACAGTGAACGCACGAGGTTACAGGGCAGGCTTTAATGCATAGGATTCTTAAACATATAAGGTTTTTAATACAATATTAATGTAGGAACAAAGTGATGCATGAACTCATGGTTGTCTTTAATACTAAATCCCTGCATTCTTAATACATGATCCGCACGCGGAGCCTGTATTCTCGGGTCGGGCGAAAGGGGGGGATAGCAAAGGGGGGGTTTGAGAATCAGCTCACGCAGCTGATTTTCCCGGCGCCTCCCGGCGCCGGAGGCGGCCATGCATCGAGGAATGGGCCCCTCGGCGGGGCCGAAACCAGCTGCATGCAGCAAATTTCGTAACCCCCCCTTTCCCAATCCCCCCCTTTCGCCCGGCCCGATATTCAAAGCGGCACCGTACCCCCGAGGGGAAGTCACCGGCACCCACCATCCCGAAGGCCTGCCAGGTCCTGCTGGCGCAGGAGGCGCCCACGCCCAGAGGCGCCCAGGGACACACACACACACAAACAAACAAACAAACAAACAAACAAACAAACAAACACACACTCACACACAGAAGTAGACACAAATCCCAGGACTCCTCATCTTTTCCCATCTGTTCCAGGTGTTCGACCTTCCCCCCCACCGCTTCCCATATGTTCTATTTATTTCCGCGGGATCGACGATCGACTGTGTCTGTCCTTCGTCCCCTCCTGAACGACGCGCCCAGCGGACGAGAATCCGGCAGACCCACCCTGCACAAACCAGCGCACAGGGCGCCCACGAGGTGGCCGCGGGCGCGCGCGAGAACCCAGCAAACCTAGCCGACTGCGTAGGGCAAAAGATACGTTCAAACGCTGTTTGGGGAATGCACTGTTCGAGGTCCGCGCGGGTTTGTTTGGTCGGCGCTGGAGCCGCGAGAGGGTTCGCCAGCGGGGGTCCAACCCCAGACCCAAGCACCCCGCGCGAACCTCCGACGGTCCATGGCCGTGCCGTCCTTTCCTCTTCCAGGCTCGTGCTCCTCCCCCGTTGCTGCCTGCTGCATAAGCATGTGCGCCATACTGCCCGGCTGCGCGCCACCGCCGCCCTGCATCAGCGAGCGCATCAGCACTCCTCCGCCTTCGGGCGCGGCCCGCCCCCCATCTGCCTCTCCTCCTCGACGAGGGCTGGAGGCGGGGAGGGCGATTTGATGGGGACATCTTCCACCGCCGCTACCGCACGTAGGACGGAGGAGAAGGGGGGATGAGGAGGGCCTCCTCCTCCTCCTCCTCCTCCTCCTCCTCCTCCTCCGCCTCCGCCTCCTCCTCCTCCTCCTCCTCCTCCTCCTCCTCCTCCTCCTCCCCCTCCTCCTCCCTCTCCTGCGTACGGTGGCGGTGGTGGAACATGGGCCCACCACGGCTGGCCGGGCTGGACTGGCCCAAACTTCTGGCCCCCAGGAGGCCGCTGCCGGCCACTGCCGCGACCTGGGGCCCGCGGACCGGGATCCCACTGGCCCCGTGAGGGCGTGGGCAGCTCTGCGGGTGTCCTCTTCCAGCCCCTTCCTTCTCCTTCGGGGAAGGGTTTACCCCTTCCCCTACCTCCTCCTCCTCCTCCTCCTCCGCCTCCTCCTCATCCTCCTCCTCCTCCTCCTCCTCCTCCTCCGCCTGTGCCTCCTCCTCCCTGCTCCCTTTTTCTCCTCCCCTGTTCCCCCTCCCCCTCCTGCTCCTCCTCCTCCTCCTCCTCCTCCTCCTCCTCCTCCTCCTGCTCCTCCTGCTCCTCCTCCTCCCATCCCTCCGTAACCACTTTGGCTCAAGGTGGTGGCTCCGAGTCCCAAATCCCGAGTCCCGAGGCGGCCCCGGGTCGACGGGTGGGCGCCGCGTGCCAGGGGCGCGGAGGCGGCGCCGCAGCGCCGCGCTCCACGCAGCGCGCCTCCCCGCGCGGGGACTCGCCGCCGCCTCGGCTGCTGACATAATTAGCTTGGGCGGCGGCTGGGCCGCGCCTCGGCCAGGTGAGCGTGGTGCACGCGGCGGAGCTGGAAGCTCGGCTGCTGAACGCCGCGGACAAGGGCGACCCCGGGGAGGTAAATTAGAGGTCCAGCCGAAGCTCGGGGGAGAGGACGTGGAGAGCTCCGAGATCCTGCCAGCGTGGCCCCTCCGCGCCGAGGCCGTGGCGCTCTTCCCCCCCTGTGTCGCGGGTGTCGGCGAGGCGGAGGCGGAGGCCCTGCAGTCCTTCGTGGAGGTGATGAGTTCGTTCCGCGAGTCCTTGAGGGTATCACACATGCGTGGAAATGCTCAGGCATGATCCCCCACGTCTGCGTTGCAGCCTCGACTTGGGCCTCCAGCATGTGGAGCGAAATGCCTGGCGCATCGATGCCAGAGAGGGCGGTATAATGCGTAGTCTTCTTCAGAACGTTCGCTAGAGTGCTCGGTGCCCCCCTCGTTCGCCGACGTCGGCGTGCTTCTGGACGAGCTGGCGACGCCCGCGGGTTTCCTCTTCCAGGCCCGCCTCCGGGCGGCGGCGGCCGTCGCGGTGCGGGACGCGGTGCGGCGCCGAGCCGCCACCCCTGCCGACGGAGACCGAGGTGGTGATCGGCGAGGAGGCGGCGGTGGCGGACCCCCCTGGATGACCCCCCGGAGGAACGGGGGGTCGTCGACGAGGAAGCAGGCGGCCTGCAGTCCCACGAGGAGGGCTCCCAGGAAGGCGAGGAGCGCACGGAGCCGCACGAGGCGGCGGGGACGGCGGCCACGGTGCGGGACCTCGAGGCCGAGCTGCGGGCGATCGAGGCCGAGCTCTGTCGGTGCGAGGGCCTGGACGGCGTGCCCGTTGCGCAGCTGGCGGCCGAGTACGCCCTGGAGGAGAAGGATGCCGTCGCGGAGGATGTCGTCGTCGCGGAGTCCCACGAGGGGGCTCCCCACTTCGTGCTGCGCGCTGCGCGGAGTGCGCATCACTGCGCGCCCTCGCGCCGCCTCCCAGGGGAGAAGAGGAGGACGAGGAGGCATCGGAGCCGAAGCGCGAAACGCGAAGCACTTCACGCCCTCGAAGGCGCCCTTTGGCCCCACGAGGAGGCTCCTCGGGAGGGCGAGGCGTCCGCGGCGGAGGTGGCGGCGGCCACGGCCAAGGCCCCCGAGAGGCCGAGCTGCGGTCGACCGGAGAGGCCGAGCGCCGCCCTCGCGCGAGGGCGCGGGCCCCGCCGGGCGGCGCAGGGCGCCGAGGGCCCCCCCGCCGTCGAGGAGCAGCGCGCCGCCGAGGGGTCCTCTGGGCAGAGCCGGCGCGCTCGCGGCGGCCCGAGCCGTGCCTCGCGGGTTCCGCTCCCCGAGCCCGCGCGAGCGGCGCCCACGCGCCAAGGAGCCACGGATCGAGCGGCCCACGCCGGCGTTGCTGCGCCCTGCGCGGCGGCGCGGCACGCGCGAGGCCCTCGTGGCCCGAGCCCACGCCTCAGGCAGCGGCGAAGCGTCGGAACCCCGCGTGGACGGTGCCGACGGCGACGACGCCGAGAGCAGCACAGAGAAGGGGGCCGCGGTGCGAGTGCTGGAGCTGGAGCTGCCGGGGGGTCGAGCGGAAGGCCGCGAGGATCGATCGTGCCCTCGTGCCTCGTGGTCTCGGAGCTTGCGATGATTTCGCGAAACCGGACGAGCAGGGGGTCGCGGCGGACCTCGAGCTCCAGAGCGACGACGGCTGCACGGTTGCCGACGACGGCGGCCGCGGCCGCGGCGACGGGCAGGCCGAGGGCCGTCGGCCCGTCGCCGAACGACTGCAGGCAGCAGCAGATTGTGAGGGCTGGCTCCTCGGCCGGGCGATGCGGCGGAGGCGCCGTGCCGCCGAGGACGCCGCCAGGGCGCGCCGCGCCTGGGGTGCGGCGGGATGGGCGCGCGGGCGCGGCCTGCGTGACCTTTGCTGTGCTCCGCTCCGCTCCACTCCACTCCTCCCATCCCCCATCTACTCCTCCATTCCTCCACTCCTCCACCGCTCTATTCCGCCACTCCTCCACATCTCCACTCCTCCCTCCTGCACTCCACTCTTCCTCCTTCTCCTCCTCCTCCTCCTCCTCCTCCTCCTCCTCCTCCTCCTCCTCCTCTCTTCCGTTCTCCCCCTCATGGGATATGCTGGCTTCCCTTGCCCGCTGGCCCATCCACCCCATGTTTTCGCACCGCCGCCGATCAGGGCAACCCTTCCGGAGGCATCCCTTCAGGAGGGGCTGGTGTGGCTAGTCGAAGCGTCTGGACTAATAGATCCATCAACGGTCTGGGGACGTGTGGATGGATGCATAGGCCTCCTAGATGGCGCCCGAAAAAATGGGGTCGAAAAGTCGCGCCGCGTCGTCAATCCATCGCCGATGCATCGGCGACGTCGGCGACACATCCGCGCCGTCGGCGTGGGGAAACATCGAGCTCCACATCGAGCCGCATCGTCGATGCCTCGGCGACGCGGCGCGATCTTCCAACCCAAGGTCGGGCCTGTCCCCCTACAGGCCGATTTGGGACGACAAATACAGAATGGTCAAACATACTCCAAAATGCCCAAAGAAACAATCCAAGAATCGTCCCCAGACGATTCTTTCACTATTTTGAAACATTCCTTCCTGTAGTTGAGCAGGGACCGACCGTCCCGGCATTCCTAGAGTCCTGTCCGGCGGGCGCTGACCGAGCGCGACGCAGCAAAAAGCCGCGCCCATAGCGCCGACGCGCCATGCCCAGGACAGGCCACCTGCACCGAATTAGGGGGGGGAGGGCCCCCACGACCACGGCCAGCACAGGGAAGCGCGCGGCAGCGGGATGGTGGGGGGCGTTGCCCCCGCGAGCGTCATTGGCAACGCTCACCTCAGACCAGAAGGTGCCACTGACCACTCTGTACACACTAGCGGAGCGGGTGGGCCCACGCAGCGCGGCTTGCCCACCGTGGCGGGTACTCTGAAAATTCCCCGGCCTGACGGCGACATTCCTGTAGTCCTACCGCGAGATGGTCTTAGAACCCAAACATGTTCTAAGAACAAAAAACAATCTTTGTAGAACATACACCCGATGTGACAAAAGAAGACAGGCTCCACCAGACACGTTCTGATAACAGTTCGTGGAACAAACACAAACGGTTCTTAGAATAGTTCGGTCGGCCCCCCCTCGAGAGAAAGCAGGGGCTCCCAGCTTCGCGCTTCGCGCTGCGCGAAGCGCGAAATGCGAAAAATTTAGCGCTTTCGCGCCGCCTCCCACGGGAGAAGAGGAGGAAGAGGAGGAATCGGAGCCGAACCACGAAGCGCGAATAACTTCGCGCCCTTGAGGGCGCTCTTGGGAAGGCGCGTGCTGTGCGCTCCTCCGGGGATCTGCTGACCCGGGTCCATCCTGAGCCGGGTCAGCCAGGCCTTGCAGACTCGTGCAACATCCTGCACCCAAGCCAGGGTCAACGCGAAGGACCCCGCAAGATCCTGCAGGATCCTGCACCCAAGCCCGGGTCAATGCGACCCTGGCCTCTGCAGGATCCTGCCAGATCGGGCGCTCTGGCTGACCCCCGTTTGCATCGACCCCCGTCTCAAGGCTCCCGACTCCTCCCCGCGCCCCCCTCGCCGGCTCCACCGCCCAGCGCCCACGGGGGTGGTCCTGTCCTGGAGCCACGTCTGGGCCAGACGAGCGCCCCCCACTGCTCGCCAACGCAGCTGCGCGCAAGTCGCCCGGATTCGCCGCAGGGGGTGCGCGTACCTTACACAGAGGCAGACGTGTGGCTTCTCGGACGTTGGCGAAAAGGCACTTCGCGAGCAGCGGAGCGCGCTCGGCGCTGGACGGTTTCCGTGACTCTGGAGGCCTGGGAACGAGCACCGACACCAACACGAGGGGGTTGCCTCCACAGGGGGAAGAGGATCCTAGATCTCGGCGTTGGTGGTACTATTTCGGTCACCTCGGCAGCCAGAATATTACCACCATCACCGAGATCGGGATCCTCTCCCCTCGGTCGAGGCACACCGCCGATATTGGTGTTGGTGTCAACCTCTCAGGCCTGCGATGACTGGCCACGGGAAAGGAACACATCGGATGGGATGGCGGGGAAGGACTCGGGGAGGCAGGGGCGATGTGGAGCGCCGTCGGGTAGACGCCTTTAGACAGCTGTTCCCTGCTTAGGGCGACGTCGAATGCCTTTCCGGGCCCGACGTTTGC